CTCCCCTCCCCTCCCCTCCCCTCCTCTCCCCTGCCTGGTTGTTTCAGCGGCACAGCCCACAGCCTCCTCAAGGCAGAGCTGTGCAAACCCAGGCTCCAGTCCACTCCTGCAGCTGTCGCCCGTCACCCAGCATGAAGCCCGAACTTCCCCATACTCTGCGACCCGCTCCTCTTGGGAGACAGAGCCGCGTGGCCAGGAGAGGCGGCGTCAGGTGGTCAGGCAGAGGACAGGACCAGCGTCTTCCTCAGCGTGTGCTGCAGGGAGAGGCTGTACCTCTGCTGGCTGGGGACCTTGCTGTTCCAGTCATACACAGTGTGGTTGAGCCTGACAAGCAGGTCCAGCAGCGGGCATTTCCTGGAAGAAATAGGAAGGCAGGATGGAATTTGTGCAGCAGGCTGGCAGCTGCCTCAGCCACCGTGGAAGTTCCTGCCGCCCACGGAGCCAGCGCCGGGCTTCACCTGCCAGACAGACGTCAGCTGCCAGGCAGCTCTTCCAGGCAGGGAGACCCAAAAATGTCTGGAAGGCCCGGCCCCCAGAGGCTGAGGAGACAGAGCTAGAGACCCAGTCCTGGGCCCAGAGCCACACCCAGATGTGCCTGTCAAGGGCTCAGAGGCCAATGATTGAACCGGGCCCCTGGGGAAAAAGCCAGCACCCTCCCACGAGACGACACTGGCTCCTCCTGGCCTCGGTGACCATCAGCATCAGACATGACAGGGCCCACGCCGCAGGGTGGCCAGGACCCCATGGACACCGAGGCCGGCAGCACCAGCCCTGTGTCCCAGGACACCGGGAGGACAGCCCAGCCAGGTCAGGCACAGTGAGAGTAAGGGACGATGGTTACAAAGACCCACAGCTCTCTAAAACCCTGGCGTTGCTTATCTTTTTAATTTCCATTTAATATTTTCTCCCAACTGTGGGAGACCTCGGGTGACAAAGCTGGAGGAACGCCATTCCTGCCCAGTGGTGGAGACGTGGCGCCCCCTCCTGGGCACCCCAGGAAACAATTAAGGGCGACGAGTCATACTCAGAAAATGTAGCAGCGGGGCTGGGACCTGGTGCCAGGGCTGGCTCTGGTGACAAGGCTGTCATTGTGCGGTGGCTTGGATCAGGAATGTGCTCAGAGCCCGGGCTGTGGAAGGTGTTGCAAAGCGGGAGGCGGGGGCTGCAGGAGGTGGGGCCTGGCTGCGGCTGTTACTGGGTGCGCCCTGGGCGGCTCCTCTCTTCTAGCCCTGCCTCTGGGCTGCCATTCTGTGCGCGGCTGCCCTCCGCCAACCCCTCCCACCTTGGCTTCCCCTGCCCTGGAGCAGCCAACATGGACTGAACCTAAGAAACAAATGACCTCTCCTCCTTTAAACTGCAGGTGCAATTTGTCCCAGTGACAAGAAAGTGAGTAAGACAAGCTGCTTACTACACTCTCCTTTCAGCATTTCTGTTTCAGGGTTTTTCTACAAGGAGTGGCTATCCCTACTAGAACAAGAACAAAATTAAGATGACTCAATTTGAAAAAGAAACGTGGGGACGCCAAGCTGACCACACCCTGCAGCCTCGCGGCTGGGAGCCCAGGAGTAGTGCACACCTGGCTCCTGAGGGCAGCGCACGTGGCACATGTGGTAGCAGCGTGGTGCTCAGGCAGCTGGGGACACCACGCTGGAGCTCACCTGTCCTGCAGCAGCTGCTGGGAGAGGCCCTGCAGGTACACGGAGGGCACGGTGCCGGGCTGTTCCAGCAGGCACGCGTGGGCCACGCACTGGCTCCAGAGGACATCGGCTTCCTGGTGCAGGGTGGGGGGAGGTGGCCGCACCCCCCTGGACTCCACGCTGGTCACCGCTGGCCCGTCCTCCTCCAGGAGGCTGCTGGTCCCTGGTCCGGCCTCGGACACCACGTAGCTTTGGATGAAGAAGAGCTTCGGCTTCCCGACCAGGGGAGGGCAGGCGTCCCCTGTGAACAGCGCCCTGACCTGCTCCAGGGGCAGCCCCGAGTGGGCCCGGTCCACACCGAACACACTGCAGGGGTCACCTCGGCTCACCAGGACGCACACAAAGCTGTCCTGCTCCCGGTGCTGGGGTGAGGAGGCCACCTGGCGGAGAACCTGGGCCACGTCGCTCACAGCAAGGTACAAAAAGCACTGGACTTCAAAGCCCAGGGAGGAGAAGGCATCTCGAAGAACTTCTGGGGAAACAAGCCCAGAAAACAGCAGTAGATGAGAAAAGCCCAGAGGAGCCAGGCAAGAGTTCCGGAGTGCAGCCCACCCTGCTGTCCAGGTCTCTCGGGCCCTGAGGCCAGGCAGAGGGGACAGCAGTAACCTGGAACATGAACTGCTGACCAGGCCCCTCCTCCTCCATCTCTGGGGCCCCCAGTACATGTGGCCACAGCAGCCAGTGCCCACTCCATGCTACCGAGCCCAGGGGCTGAGCTGGTTTATCTTCCTCAGAACAGCAAGACACGGGCACAGACATGTCCCCTGGGGACATGTCCACTCCAGACCCAAAGGGAGCAGGGGCCTCGTCCCACCTGCTGGCACCTCCGGGGCCTAGTGCTCCACTTCTGGGGTGATAGGCACCTCAGCCGCGACACCCACAGTGTGCCCAGAGTCCTCCAGCACCCATGAGCCCAACAGGCCAAGGGAGAGGCAGTGCAAGGCCGAGTGTCCACGTCTAAACCCTTCTGTCCATCGCCCGACATTTCAAGGTCTGGCCTCCCAGGTCCAGGGTTTTCTCCTCCAGCAGAGGAGCCGCCTCTAGTCAGTTTATGTCTTTGCTAACAGAGAGCAGAAACTTCTTTCTCTTCCCCACTCAACACCAAAGTCCCTGGCGTGGTACAGGCCTGTGATCCCAGCCACCCTGAAGCTGAGGCCGGAGGGGTGAAGTGGGAGCTCAGCCTGGGCAGCCTGGCGAGACCCTGTCTCAATCAGGGCCGTGGAGCAGCTTGGCTAGAGCGCTTGCCCAGTAATCTCGAGGCCCTGGGTTCCGTACCCAGTACTTCACAGGATCGACACCCTTTTGACTACAAGTCTGTTCTTCCCACTTCCAGGTTGTTGTTGTTGTTTTTGTTTTTTTTTTATGATACTGGTGGGAGTTGAACCTAGGGCCTTTGCAATGACTCCAGCCCTTTTTGATTTTTTTTCAGGGATCGAACTCAGGACCTTTTCCCACTTTGAAGATGTCACTTGGTCTAAACTCATTTCTGGGTAGGATTCATGGTCAGGCCTAAACTCAGAGACACGACAAGCAGATTCAGCTCAGGGGCCCCATCAGATTCGGTCCACTTCTCTGGATTTGTTCCTCATCCCGTCTCTAGAGCCAGCCTCTCCCTGTCCCGGTGTGGCCGTCCAGAAACCACTTGCTTCTCTCAACCAAGCAGTAATCGTTACAGCCGCATAACTTCCACCCCATAACTTCCACCCCATGCATTTGGGGATTGAAGGACGGATCTAGGGAAGACTTCTGCAGAACAAGGCCAGGTACAGAGTCACAAGTCAGTCAGGCCACGGCTCCATCAACAGTGTCCGCCACCCTGCCCAGCACACCGACCAGCCACTGGCCAACTGTAACAGCAAGAGAAAGCAATCTCAAATTCTGTCCTAGATTCTCAAGAGGAGCTAGGAAAGATAACAGGTTCAAAGAAAAAGGAACACAACTTTGGGTTAACAAAAGGCTGGGGTAATCAGCTAGGTGTGGCAGTGCATGCCTGTAATCCCAGACACCTGGGAAGCAGAGGCAGGCAGATGAAAGCTCAAGGCAAGTGGGCTGGGGATGTAGCTCAGTGGTAGCGCGCTTGTGTCAGTAACCGGCGCACACACTCGACAAGGGAGAGCTGGGCTGTGTGTTAGGGATTTGATTCACTCAGGCTGCCAGCAGGACCTGTTTGTCCTCATGAAGGCTGTGCTGGCCCAAAGCCTAGCAGAGGCTCAGTCTGAAGACACGCCCACAAGTCCCGCAACTCCTCCACGCAAGAAGCACAGCGGGTCCCTCCTCAAACGTGGACCAGCCTGAAACAACTTCTGTGGCAGGCGCGAGACCTTGTGCCTGCCGAAGCCCCGTTTCCCCTGTCTAGCTGTCCTGGGCACCGGGCGCTCTCGGGAGCCAGCGTCATGCTGAGAGAACAGCAGCATCCGAGCCTTCAGACCCTGCTGACAAGCTCTGGACCCTGAACCCTGGCCTGGTCTGCAGAAACAGTGCCTGCACCGGAGTGCGCCCTGCCACGTGAAGCCCTGGGCGACAGCGCTCGGTCCTCACGGTCAGGTAAGAACCTAGCAGCTGAGTCTCTGACCTCTGCTAGCAGCCAAAGGGGATGAGCATGGGTTCGGTGCTTACCTCTCCCTCCTACCCGCCACTGTCACCTGTGAAAGAGTGGATCCCTGAGTCCTGGAATCACACAGATCCAGGGAGCGGCCAGGGCCCAGGTCCTCACTCAGCACCACTGTCAGGGTACGGGGACCTGATCCGCAGCTGCAGATGACCGAGGGAACGGCACATGTAGCCTCCTCAGCCTCCGAGGGACGGAAAGGCACGTCCGTCTCCCGGCACAGCAAGGCTCAGAGCCCCACGCCACACCGAAGTGGACACAGAGAAGAATGCGGAGGACACCAGTCCTCCAGCTACTGCTCATTCCAGATGCCTCTTGCAGGGCAGGATCCCTCGGGCCTGGAGTGCCCATCCTCCAGGGAGCCCTAAGCCCTGGCACCTCTGCCCCTGCTCTCCCTCCTCAGGGGCTGCCCAGAAGGCTCCAGTTGGCCCTGGCCCTGTCACAGCTCTGAGCAGGCAGCTGTGGTGCAGGTGAAGGAGGAACTGGTCTCAGAACCCCAGGGCCTTAGCTTCTGTCCCAACTCCTCTACTTCCTGCCCAAGGAGTTGGCTGTTCTCAGACGAGGTCACTCAGAAAGGGTCAGGGCCGTCCCAGGAAGGCCTTGCCCGGCAGAGACAGGAAGGAAAAAAGGCCAGAGATGGAGCTGGAGCCCCGAAGCAGCACAGCACCAGGAGTACCCAACCCAGATGGGCAGGAACAGGACCGCAGGACCCTAGGGAGTGGCAGGCTCCCAGCAGGCAGGGCCAGCTGTCCTCTCCTCTTCCCACGCGGTCCCACCTCTCAGAAGCCCAGGACCCAGCCTCTCCCGAACCAGGGGACTTGGGGAAGTGGCAGCCCTGTGGCTGAGGCCCCACCTGAGCCCACTCCTGGCAAGGTGGCCAGAGGCCCCGGGGGACTGGGGTGGACGCTCGCACCGAGGGCTGTGCCACAGGAGATAGGCGCGGTGGCTTGGCCACAGCCAGAGGGGGCACGGGGGAGCGAGGAGTCCGACCTCAGAACGGCGAGCTGGGGGTCCTGCACCCCACACCGAAACGGGCCCGGGGACAGGCCCAGGTCCCAGAGCCTCGTCACTGCTTTCTCCGCCCACAGATGGGAAAAACGCTCGGTGCTGAGTATGGAAAATAAAACTTGAATGAAAGCAGAAGTACCGCTTCTGCCTGTGCACTGGCTGGAAACCCCACTGCCCCCAGGCCTCGGGGGGAATTCCACCTGTTCCTCAGAAATGACCTCGTGAAACGACAGGTTTTCTCCCAAACATGGTCAGTCCAGGCTGCGCAGAAGGCACAACATCAAGTGCAGGAGAACCAGACAAGTCACACTGAGAGCCATGCCACAGCCTCCTCTATACAGGAAGTGACACGGTGAGAAGACAGCTCCTCATTCCCGCGAGGATGCAGCGGCTAAAGAGGGGAGGACACTCACCCACAGCTGGGGACACTGCATTTCTCACACCCAACCAAAACAGCATGCGCGAAAGCCAGGGATTCGGTTTTGCAGTACTAGGAAATGAGCCAGGGCCTTCACACTGAGCTACAGCCCTTTTTTTCTCTCTTTTTTTGGAAACAAGGTCTCAGTAAATTGCCGAGGCTGGGCTTAAATTTGTGATCCTCGTGCCTCAGGCTCCCAGCATGCTGAGATCACAGGATGTAGCTCGGCAATAGGGTGCCCTGGGTTCCAGCCCTAGTACAGCCAGGAAAAACAAAGAAACAAAAGTTCCTCAGTAATATTTTGAGTGAGCCTAAAAGACTGGTCTGAGTCCTCACAATGATGTCAAGAATCTGGGAGCGCTGAACCAGAATGATCTCAAAGGAGAGGTCAACAAGTAAACAGAACTCGAGCCCTGTGGCCGGGCTCCTCTGTCCCCCTGCCTCACAGCGGTCAGTGAGTCAGACACGGACCACAGATGGGTGACAGGTGCACACGGCTCCCCACGACGCAGACCCAGGTGGAGCGAGCTCCGGCCAGGACAGACCTCAGGGCGTGTGGCCCGAGCAACACCAGAGCCCCAGAACCCACGTGTGTCTGGCTTCACAGCCCCAAGCAAGGCCGTCTCGGGAAGTGGGAGTGAAGCAAAAGGACACCCCAGCCATTTGGAGCCCCAGGCCGTCCAGAGACACTGCCTCCCACGTGGAAAGCTGGGACAGAGGCCACCAACCTCACAGCTGGGCGTGCACTCCCCAGGCCCATCTCACGAGCCCGCAGGAGCTGTACAGGCACCAGGCTGGGCTGAGCTCACACCCGCCATCCGCAGGGGCCCACGTACCTGCAGCGTTGCCCACGCAGTCGATTATCAGGCAGGTGCCCAGGGGCCTGCTCTGCATCCGGTACCTCTCCAGGGGCGTGCGCTAGAAAGGGAAACAAGGACCGTTACAGACCAGAGACAGCGCCCGCCTTTTGTCCCCACGTCCCTTGGGCGTCCCCTCAGCAGGTGAGCCGTGACTCCAGCCCCCCCAGCATCCCCTGAGCAGACACAGTCCACAGTTCCAGCAGCCGATCTGACCCATCAGTAGCAGCTTCTGGTTAGCAATGTACTTAAGACAAACTAGCTATAGTATTTCCATTTCTTCTTAAGTTTAATGAAAACTGTGTCTTACTACTCTGCAGAATAGAGACAATCGGAAACTATGTCTCCGCCATGACCTGAAGTAGAAACAATGGCATCTTTAAAACAGCATAAATGGGGGCATCTGCCGCTGCCTCTTAGAACAACCCCACCCCAAGAACAAGCCTGCCCGGCACTCACCTGAGGGGCAGGGACCCTGGAACCCCTGTACCCATCCCTAACAAGAGCCACGTTAAGTGTCCTCTGTGCTGTGTTCAAGGTCCCTGGCAAATGAACTCTTGGGAAAGCGCAGGGTGTGGCTCTGTCACAGGGACTTTCTAACGGGCAGTCTGTTTCAGAACTGTGCTCCCACGGCTCCTGTGCACAGCACAACACCGAATCAGCTCATTCATTCTGCACCTGAGGCGAGAAGGCTCCCGATTCCTGAACAGACATCTTCATGGGTTCTGGGGAGAGACAGAAAGCACTGTTACAGAGTAGAGTGAACCTCCGCCCTGCCACTGGCTGCTCTCCACACCGTGCTGTCCTCCTGTTTCCTTTCTCCAGCTGTCCTTGTCTTTCTCCGGATACATGTAGCACAGGTCAGACCCAAGTTGCCAGGCATGGTGGCCAGCCACAGTGGCACAAGCCTACAATCCCAGCACTCGGGAGGCTGAGGCAGGAGGATCGCTTTGAGTTTGAGGCCAGCCTGGGCTACTCAGCGAGACCCTGTTTCTGCAATCAGCCAATCAGTCCTGAGTGCCTGCCCTGTGCAGGGCCCTGTACAGAAACTGCCTGAATAGCAAGTGAAGGAGGCCTCTCCCTTGCCCTTCTCCTGGGGAGGCCCAGGCTCCAGCTAGCTTTTACCCTGACAGGAGAATTCAGCAATCACACTGCTCCTCACCACCAGGAGAAGGGAGCTCCCGGGGTTCACCACTCTGAGTTGAGGCCAGGGGTCTGCATCGGAGACCCAGGGAGATGGTAAAATACACGGTCACTGAGAAGGGACGGGGTCAGGCAGACGGAGAGCCCATGGCACACCGTGCCGGGTGAAAGGGCTTCGTGAGTCCGCAGGGTGCAGGGACGCCGGCTCTCACCTGTGCACTGCCAGTCTCAGGGCTTAGTAATCCCTGAACTGAAGTCTTTGCACTGTCTTACGAGGGAGGCTGCTGCATACTGAAAAATAGTGTCTAAAAATAGGGAAAGAAAATTTCCGTATTGGTAGGGCTTGGGGAAAACAAGCACTTTCAGATCTGATGCTGAACTAATTGCAAGAGTCTTTTCAGAGGGCAGCAGGCGCCCCCCTTTAAGATAACATTCGGCCTCTGAACATTCAAGGAAATAAGAGATCAGTGCAAAAATGCACATCAAAGATAGCTGCCAGAGCCAGGTGTGCTGGCGCATGTCTGTAATCTCAGCTCAGGAGGCTGAGGCAGGAAGACTGCTGTGATATCCCACCAGCCTGAGCCACACAGGAAATCTGTCTCAAGCACCCCTGCTAAAAAAGAGACCCACTGAATGACTGTTCATAAGGCCCCAGACTAGGAAGAGCAGAGAAGTCCACAACACGAAACAAGGTCAGTCAGTCGTGGTACATATGATGAATACTACACACTTTTAAAAGATTATGGGATTGGGCCAGGGACTTGGCTCAGTGGTTCTACTGCCTGCTTCGCAAGTGCAAGGTCCCAAGTTCAGTCCCCGGTACTGAAAAATTTTAAAAAAGAGTATGGGATCTTTATGTGTCTGGCGTGAAAAGGTGTGCAGGGCACATTGCAGTAAACGTGGTTTACTAAACACTGTGTGCAGCAATGGAGTCTGTGCAGATATGACGTGCGTGTCTGACACAAGACACAGAGCCTGCACGCCGGGGTCTACATCCATGTGTGGCTCAGCCACCCAGGGGTGGAGAATATTCGGGGAGGGAACGGCATCTGAGCTGCTCACACACACGCTCGTGGGCCCTGAGCAATACACACGACAGCCCAGCACGCTCCCGCCCCAGGCGCCCGCCCAGCCCAGAGAGGTCCTGCACAAGCTCGATGCGGCTTCTCCAACAGGCCTAGTGCACCTGTGGGTCCTGAACCATGTGGCACCGAGGGACATCCGTGTGTGCTCACCGGAGTGTGGGGTACACTCATACGTGTGCAGCGCTTCCCTGCTATGTGAAACTAGGAAACGTACTGTCTAGATGTATTTTAAGCACCACTTATCAACAGAACAAACGCACAATGCACAAAACAATTCATGCAATGCGTCTCTCAGAGTCTAGCGTTTGAAAAGCACACGCATCACCATCTGGGTCTTTCAGTCGAAATCTACCTGGAAGTTCAAATTACTGTGAATACTTGGCTGATTACTTTAAAGCCAATTTATCAGAACCTTTTCAACCATTAGAAAAGAAACTCGGGCTGGGCTGAGCAGGACTGCCGGGCCAGGACCTCACTCCCTCCCTGCTCTGAGACCCAGAGCACCAAGCAGAGAGAGTGCCCATTTACATCCTGGACAAACCAGCCAGGGGCCTGTGCCCAGCCTTCCTCTCGCGACTTCTCAGCACCTGCCCGGTGCTCTGAGGAACCCGCTGTCACTTCAGAAATGAACTGCTGGAGAGCAGACATGCAGCGGGGATGGCAGCGGGCACCGTACCATCTGCTGATCTGGCAGATGCCACAGTGGCACATGGCCGAGTCGAGGGCCCCAGCGAGCAGTGCGTACCCGGTGCCCACTCAGGACGCTGAGACTGCACTGCACAGACAGGCGACAGGGGTATCCCGGCCTCGGCATCCTGCACTGAGGCCTCAGGACGAGCAGAGAAGGACGCCGCTGAAGGGTGGCACTGTGGGACCCAAGGCTGACGACTCAGGGAGGCTGTGCAGCGTGAGTCGAGATTTTTATATGTATTTTTCCTTCTTTTTCGGGGCCAGCGGAGGTCTTCTATAGAATATTCACTTTTATTAAATGGGCTATCAAGCGAGAGCCTATTGACCTTTCTTCTTCCTGCTGCTAGATATCTGGTTAAACACAGTTATGATATGGCTGGATTACTGTTAAACAGGGCCTGGGAATGGCTCCACGTCAGGATAAATGTCACACAGCTTAAGAAGACAGCCCAGGGACCGGCCTGGCGGGGAGACGTCCAAATTTAAAGGAGCTAATTCAGTGGGGAGCCAGAAATGGCATGAATACATGTCAGAGTTAGCTGCCCTGGAACGTGCGGACAAAGGAAACAGGCAACTGTAAAACTGCAACATTTTGTAGTTGAATCATCCAACATTTAGGAACATGGACAGAAAGAAATGTTCTTACTTTGATGATGTGTCTCGAGGGCCTCTCCCTTCCTCCTCCCATTCTGGAGCTTCAAATACAAAGAATAAGGTCACACTCGTTAGTTTCCTCAGACGTGATAGCGCACTGCTTTAACTATCTCAATGGCATTCTTACCTAGGAAAGAAATAAAAATATCAGCTTCAGTTAGTCGTCTACAGGACAGAGTATCTGCAAACTCCGTGAAGCTCTCATCATACAGCCAAAGAGCAAAGCGACTATGTTTAAAATGAAAAGATGAAGAAAGCTTCCTAGTACTACATTAGCAAATTAGACAGCTCAACAAAGCCAGGCAGCACGGTGTGGGAAGCTGCGGTCAGAGCTCCAGGTCGGGCAGGCCCTTGGGACAGCAGCTGGTACTGGAGCCCCTCGCTGCATAGAGGCAGAGGACAGCATGGCTGAGACCTGCTCTCCAGGCTGGACACAGTGGCTCCGGGTCTCGAGGTGGCCACTTACTACCTGGGTCCCTTGAGCAGCTGTTTCACCTCAGGTGAGGGCAACAACAGCAGCGACCTTGTTGCTATTTATGCAAAGTCCTTCATAAGGGTCTCCATAATGACTTAGCTTCTGCATCTCTGTAATCACTTAGCTTCACAAGCGCAACATGTGGGCCTGACTCTTGATCATCGTGACCTCTGGATAACCGCTTCTGAGGGCTACAGCGGGGAAAGGGGACAGTGAAACACCGAACCGACCCTTTCTCCTCTCTCGTGAGTGGTCCTGTGTAGGGGACACACACCACAGACTGCCACTCCTCTGCAGTGCTCAGCCTTCAAATGACAGTTCTCCTCAGAGCTGCCCCAGCCGAGAAAAAAGTGGACAGCAGCTGCACCTGGTGTCTACAGGACAGAAAGACATGCAGGTGCTTTCACCAGCAGTAACTGACCTCGCCAGAGGCTGATATTAGATAAAAACTGACTCCCACAGAGTCCAGTCACTTTTACACACTGTTAAACAGAGCAATGCGAATCAAGGCACTCCTCAAAAGCATTCTACTGCAGCCACGAAACGCTCTCCTGGGCTGTGTTGGTACCCTGTGGCATTTAATGCCATCACGATTGTTTTGTTCCAAACTGGGTATTGAGCTACATCCTTGGCCCTTTCTTAGTCTTTATTTTGAGACAGGATCTCACTAACTTGTGAAACTGCCTGGGCTGGGGTTGAACTTGTGACCCTCCTGCCTCCCAGGTGATGAGACTGTAGACCTGTGCCACCACACCAGGCCCATAGCAATTGGAGCATTTCAGCACTCATAGGACTTAACAAGTAGGTATTCAGCTCCTGAATCCTGTGAGAAAGTTACCAAGTTCATACACCTCCGTGCCTGCTTACTAAACAAATGAACAAGTAGGTTCACATATTAACCAGAGTGAGCAACTTTAAGGAGAAACTGCTTCACAGAGCACACGTTTCCCAACAGGCTGCACAGACAGCGGACGTGCTCACCTTCATGTACAAAACAGAAACAACAAAAATGTGGCAAGTTTTAACCAGGAACGACAGCAAAGTGTACATTACACAAATAGCGGAGAAAGCTGGGAAATATAGATTTGAATCCTAAATCTGTTTGTCTCATGATTCAGTGCCCCAGGGACCCAGGCACTGAGGAAAGCTGCATCTCAGCCCCGACAAGACAGTGGCTCTCGAAGTCCCCGAGGCCCGGGCCTAGCTGGCCGTGTGGGTGGACAGTACTGAGCACCCGTCAGCCTCAGCACCATGTTGCTCAGGAAGTGGGTGAGACAGTGCAGTCCTGAGCGCCTTTAACTCTGAAGCCCTGTTGCTCATAGTGTTGCTTACAGCTCAGATTCTCCAAGAAACACTCACATTAAAGGTGTAGTCAATGTTTCGTCACACACGTCAATGACAGTGTCTATAGTTTAACCTGAAATTGTACTTAAGTCCTCATTACAAATTCCACTTAGCTTTCTATAGAGCTGAGGGTACTATGACACCAAAGGTCTTTCCTCTCAAGATGAAAGATTAACCACACGACAACCCTGATGATACCTTGTACTGTCCATTGCTAAAACAACCACACATGACCATAGGACATTTAGATTCACAAAGGAAACCTTGTTTCATCACTCAACAACAAAAACTATTTGCCAAGGAGCTCAACAGACATTTATTAATTTCGTGATAACAGGAAGTTATACATATTTTGAAGTATATTTCTGACATAATTTTCTCAACTGCTAAAGTACATTCTGTGACACTGTCTATTTTTCTTGAAGCCGTGAAACTTTCACACTGGGATTCCACGTGTTTGCTTCACACTCACCCTTAAATTATGTGAAAGATCTTCGAGACTCAAGTTTGGGAAAGAGGCTTGCAGAGAAGTTGTGTAATTTGTTCGTGCTCCTTGAGCTATAAAGCAAAAGAGAGATACTGAGTTAAGATTTATAAATTATAGGGCTGGGGATCTAGAATAAAAGCTAAAATGTAATTATTGCTGCCTTTCTAAAGCCAGAATATAGTTCTGTATTAAATTGAAATGGCCTGGCATGGTGGCGCATGCCTGTAATCCCAGCTTTTGGAGGCTGAGGCAGGAGGATCGCTGTGAGTTTGAGACCAGCCTAGGCTACATAGTGAGTTCCAGTTCAGTCTCAACTACATAGTGAGAGCCTGTCTCAAAAACAAAAAAATAAACTGAAATGTACAGTAGCCCAGAACAGTTTACTGATACTTACTGAGCTATAACATAGCTATTTATAGTTGAGATTTTCTAGTCATTGCATAGTAGAAAGTTCTTCTAAAAGTTACCAGTATCCCTTTCTGAAAAACAAATTACTATATATTTCATATGAAAATTCTTATACTAGACAGTATAATAATTTTTCATTTGTAGATTTAAGTGGTATAATAATTTTGGCATTTGAATCTTAACCTGTAGCCTAGCTACTTTGGGATGGCCGTAGAATGTTTTCCTGTTACTTTGTTACTGATTCCTCGCAGCAAAAAAAAAATGACGCTGACAATTTGTCCTTTTTTTCCCTTCTTTTTGTTTTACGCTATCCAATTAAACATGTAAAAATAAAATTTAAATTTTAGTCTGCTTATTAAAAAAATTTTTTTAAATAAGTAAATTATAGGCCTTGGGATTTAGCTCAATGGCACAGCGCATGCTTTGCAAGTACAAGGTCCTGAGCTCAATCCCCAGTACTGCAAAAAAAAAAAAAAAAAAGATTTATGAAATATTATCAAATGAAACTTCAACAAAGATTCACTTCACCTAATTTTGCCTATTTTGTTTCATATTAAAGCTACTATTATTTACATTAAAAAAAACAATAATTCAGTTCAGTCTAAGTTCAACCACAGTCTTTTAAAATACTCTAAACGTGGGCCAGAGATTTAGCTCAGTGAGGTCACCACCCGCCTCACAAGCACAAGGTCCTGAGTTCAATCCCCGGTACCAAAAAAATAAATAAAATAACAAAATACCCTAAACTTTCCAACTGAAATGAAAGTATCAGATGACTCTTCCATCACACATCTAGAATGACCAAAAAAAGAAAAAGAAAGAACGGACTAAAAGCGCTCTCCCCACTTGGCTGTCCAACGTCATTTCAGTGTGTGTGGCATCGGACAGTCTGTAACCCAAGGGGCCTCAGCCAGGCCCTTTAGCCTGTGACCCTATTGCAACAGCGAGCTACCAGAGTCCAGGCAGAGGCTAAGACAGTGGGGTGGTGGTGTGAGGGAGAGGACCAAGGGAGAAAGAGCTGCCCTGCTCTGGGAGTAGTTTTGGTGACGCTTGAGACCTGCAGGGCAGCCTTGGGACCCTGGGGACACCACCCAGAGACGGATGCTCGTTACCAGGCCAAATGCTGGAGTCAGGTAGTAGCATTCAACACACAAAAGCTCCAAATGTTCACAGCTTCGCCAGCCTGTGAATACTTAGACTCTTTTTTAAAGGCTAGAATGTTCAGGACTACAGTGGTCAGACAATGGAGTCACAGACTCGCGATATAAAGATATAAAGGGATAAGATTTGCAGCCACAGGCTGGAGGGGCTCTGGACACTCAGGCTGCATTCCACCCACCCACTTATCAATCGATCTTTACCAGCTACACTTCTGTGCAGAGTACTTGCTTTACTACTGAGAGGCCAAAGTTCTTACCAGACTGCTTGTACATTTCAATCTTCTTCTTCAGGTCTAGTCTGTGGATGTTCTTTAGGCATTTTTCTAATAAGTCCAGTTGATCTGAAGCAACCAGATTCAGTTTCTCCAATTCAATCACAAGATCCAAGAAACTCTAAGAGCCACCAACAAGAAGCAAATGTCAATGCAGCTAATGAGCCAACACAAACCCCAGGCCATGTGATTTAGAGCAGCAAGAAAATGTGATCAGGTGAACCCTGGCAGGGATCTGCAGTGTCCTAACCCAGACACCTCTTCCCTGAGCAGATTACTCTCCTGGACTTTACTCAGAAAAGATGGGGTAAGTCCCTTGTCATCAGCCAGAATGGGGAGAGACACAGAGCTGCTGTGTGTCATCAGTTGTCCCATGAAAGATCTCTTCCAAAAGGCCAGACTGGCATTGAACTGAAACCCCTAAGGGCTTCCCCAGAACAGAGAAGAGCAGGTAGTGGGACAAAATTTCAGAGAAAAATCCTAGTCCTACATTTGTAAACCTCTCGAACTCTTTTCATCAGTGCTGGACATCCCACCACACTGTGACTCGGGATCATGGGGAGTAAGATTTAAGGTTCTGCTCCAGATTTATACTGGGCCACAGGGACTTATGAAACCAAGTCTCAGAAACAGCCATGTCTTTGGGTTCTATTCCTTTTGTGTTTAACATCTGGTCACTGAAGTGCTATCTTTATTTTCTAAAAAAACAACTGGGCCAGGGATTTAACTCAGCAGTTTGGTGGCCTCCCTTGCAAGCGCAAGGACCCGAGTTCAATCCCTGGTACCAAAAAAATAAAATAAAAAAATAAAAATAAAAAAACAAAACATAGTTAACTTTACATAAATGATGAGAGAGAAGCTGATCAGCAGAGATCAACAAAGGAGTCCTATTTTTCATTTTTTCTCCTTTGCATTTGACGTGGGAGCAGTCAGTTTCCAGATTTCAGAAGTGAAATTACACTAGGAGCTGGAGGAGATTCTCCAGCCAGGCTCCTTGGTGGCAGGCTGGCCCCAGGCATGCTGGGGAGCTTCAGACTTTCTTGGCCCTTCCTGAAGTGCTGTGGGGCCAAGTGGAATGTGAGTCCCCTCCCAGCCTCAGCCTCCTCCTTGAGACCACTGCCCTCCCTGCGTTCCAACCCCACCACTGCACTGAAATTACACTAGGAGCTGGAGGAGATTCTCCAGCCAGGCTCCTTGGTGGCAGGCTGGCCCCAGGCATGCTGGGGAGCTTCAGACTTTCTTGGCCCTTCCTGAAGTGCTGTGGGGCCAAGTGGAATGTGAGTCCCCTCCCAGCCTCAGCCTCCTCCTTGAGACCACTGCCCTCCCTGCGTTCCAACCCCACCACTGCACTCTGCACTATGCCAGAGGGTCTTCCAGGCCAGTGCGGGAATCTGGTGGCCAAGCCGGGCCTGCGATGGCTTCGGAAAGGACAGCCAGGTATGGTGGCACATGCTTGTAATCCCAGCACTCAGGAAGCTGAGGCAGGAGGATTGCCACAGCCAGCCTGAACTATGTAGTGAGACCCTGTCTCAAAAACAACAAAAAAGGACAAAGTCCAAGAATGAAAGGAAAACTAAGGCCACACCAGGCACCCGCACCACCCTATCTCTTCTCACTTCTCTTGCCACAAATGTTGCTATGAAAACCGTGGCAGATGTCTGACCCCGAGCAGTCCACTTCTGACGGCCCCTCGGAAACAGAGCAAAAGAAAACACACCTTGTCCTTGGCCGTCTTGCCGCGGCCTGTGTAGTCCCTCATGAGGAAAGTCAGTGCGGACATGTCGGACTTGTCCAGGTCCTCACCGATCTCCATCATCAGCACCCTGGGGGCAGACAGACCTTCGGGAAGCTCAGGCACCAGGACCCACAGCCCTGCACGTGTCACTCCTGACACCGAAGTCCTGGCCACCAGCAAGAGCCCCATGGGGACCCCAGTGGGAGACCCTCCCTGTCTCCCAACCTGGGGCTGGAAAGGACTCAGGAGAGAAGCTCCCTTCCCCCAGGAGTTACATGCAGGACCCTAGGACTGGGTCAAAAGGCAGAACGGAATTTTCAGAGGTCTCGTCCTCTTGGGGACCTGGGGACCAAACTTGGATCACAAGACTGTAAAGCAAAGAAACCCCTGGAACTTCGCTGGGGACTCTGACACGGGTCCTGGTCTGGATGCCCTTCCAACTGGCGCCTCTGACACACCCAAGCGGGACACCCAGCTCAGCACTGTCACGCGGCTGGTCTGGGAAGGCTGCTGTCCAGCAGATGCTCAGATTCTCAAGGACAGGTATGGCTCGAGCTGCCCTTGCACTTCACAAAGCCCTGCTTGGCCGGTGGAGGGTAGGCCACAGAGGACAAGGGAAAGAGAGCCCTCCACCTGGCCTCCACACAGGGAAGGTGACTGTGGGACTGGACAGGCCCGTGGGAGACGGCGGGCACCCAGAACTACAAGGTCTTGCACCCTCCACAGGGCTCCCAGCAACCTGATCCTGTGACCCAAGGGGGACAGCCGGAGGCCAAGGTCAGCAAAGGCACGGGGGCCAGGGGGCCAGGCCCCAGCTCCTCACTCTGCAGGGCCTCATGTCTCAGGGTGGCTCCTGATGACACAAAGCACCCACGCCCAAGACCGACGGAAAAGGGGCAGGTTCGTGGGAGAAGGGAAGAGCCACGGGGGCAGGTCTCTTCCTGTCCCCACCCATCTCTGCAGGACACCACATGAGAGCAGGAAGCAGCAGCACTGCGGGCTGCATAACCGAGGAGGCTGAGGGGACGTGGGTGGGCAACTGCACTGGCTTGGCTCGGGGGTGCAGACTTCTACAAAACAGGAAGATGCTGTCAGACTTCCTTCCTCGGTTCTAGGACTGACAGTGACTGACAGCCCCGGCAGTGAGCCAGCAAATGAGGCCATGCTGTTGGGGGCTGCTCCTGTCTTTCTTCCTTTCCCGTCATTCTGTCCTTGAGGCAAACACACACCATCTGTCCCTGCCACTTTCATTAATGATCCAAGCAAAGTGGTTTAAGAATCACAGCCTGCCACGCCAGTAATCCCGGCACTTGGGAGGCTGAGGCAGGAGATCTAGCCTTGAGGTCAACCTGGATAACAGCCGGCAGCCCCAGGTCAGGGGAAGAGGAAGCCATGCGGCTGCCCTGCCCGCCATTCTGAGCCCAGCCGCCCCCCACCGCACCCCCGTCTCCCGGCCTGTCTCTCAGGGATGCTGTGTCACCTGTAGTCAGACACCAGGCCAGGGTGCCTGCACAGGTGGGCCTCCAGGGCTGCCCGGTCCATCCTCAGCACCCGCTTGAGCAAGTCGAAGCGCCGCACCCTGTAGAGCAGCTCGGCCAGGCCCAGGGAGGACAGCTGGCCTCTCTCGCTCAGCGTGGCCAGCAGGTCCCGGGCGTCGTGGGGCACCAAATCCTCAGCGACATCGCGACACAGGAAGGCCAGCACCTCCTTCTCCTCCTCGTCCAGCGCCTCCTCCACCCTGTGGATGAGCTCAGCGGGCAGTGCCATGGCCAGGGCGGCGGGCAGTGGGCTCCTGGCCCTCAGCAGCAGCCTGGGAAAGCACCAGCTCCATCTGCACGGCCCCACTTCATGGTGCTGTGGTCCTCGGGGGCGTTAATCCTCCGGTGCGGTGTCCTCTGCTGGGACTCAGGCTTCCTTCCTCACCACACGCACTGGAGAAGAGAGAGGACGCCTCAGTGCCAAGCCCCACCAGAAGGGTCCAAGGAAAAATGAAAGCAAGGACGGCTCCCCACCAAAAGCCCCGTATACAGAGCAGGTTAGGGAAATCACAGAGACCACGTCATGGTCATGACCTCAGGGAGGAAGAGGAAAACCCAGTGACTCAGAGGCACAGACCCCTGAGAGACTAGTGTCACGGGTCTCAGGGACACCCAGGAGCAGCTGTGCGGGACGAGGGCTGACCCTCCCTCCGCAGCCCCTTCACAGCCTCCTCAAGATCAGTCCTGTCTGTTGTGCACTACTGGGGATACATTCTGGGCACCCTACCACTGAGCTACATCCCAGCCCTTTTTATTCTGAAGGTCTTGCTAAATTCTCCAGGCTGGGCTCAAACTCAGGCTCCTCCTGCCTCAGCCTCCTGAGTAGCTGGGACATCAGCCACCACACCCAAGCTCCTTGTCAGGTTCTGAGCAGATCTCAGCCCTTGAGCCCGGTGATACTAGAACACCCTGCTTCGAGGCCACGGCGGCCATGGAGGCCCTCAGTCTCAGTGGGCGTCAGCGGAGGAAGGAGAGCACTGGGCTGGCCTTTCTCTCCTGGTGGGTGGTGAGGGGTCTCTGCTTGTTTCCTTTGACATTTAAATTGCGAAGACGGGCACCCTCTGTCCCACAGCTAGAATTTATTTTCGTTTGTTTGTTTTTTGCGGTACTGAGGACCTGGCGCACACAGCTAGAATTTACACTGAAGCAGAGTCTGTGCTCTGAGCAAGCACCCTCCCTGCTCCCGATACAAACTTCAAATTACAACACCGTCTCAGAAACCTGGAGGCGCAACGCGCTCCGGACGCTCTCTGCGCGCAGAGGGACAGCCGCGCGCTGCACTGGGAGCCTGCGCCCGCCGCCCACTCCCTTCAGCAACGCTGTCTGGAACTGGAGAAACGCCATTTGCTAGAAAGATTATGCAATGAAGCAGAAAATCCGGTACTCTGGCTACTTCATTCTTTCTCTGAAAGCTGGATGCAAATCAACAATCTGTACTCCGTCCCCAGGTCACAGAGCATTAACCCCACAGCCCAACGGCCTTTTCCACTCCACACACCAAAATCACCACCACCTGCAGCCCCAGCACTCAGGATCAAGTCCAAGGCCAGCCCAGGCTACACAGTCAGCTCAGAGACCCCTTCTCAAAGAAATAACGCAAAAAAAATTTTTTTATATGCTAGAAGAAATAAGAGAAAAATAAAAGGCCGTTACACATAAGGACTGTGACTAGGTCGGGGTGGGGAGGGATGACTTCAGTTTCACCTATTGAGCTCCGTGGTGGCCACTCAGGAACCGAGACCGTGTGCAGGCCCTTATCTGCAGGGTGCACCGGGGACGGGTGGACGCTGCGGGAACCACAGACGGCGCCAACCTGCGAGCTCAGCTCTTCCCGCATTAACACAGCTGAGACAAAGGTTAAAGGACAGTTTCAGGAAGAGACAAGCGCACGACGAACTAGAACACTGGCAACGACTTAACCTGCTTGCACACTGCGCCCGCTCCGGGAGGCCCGACCAGGGAGACCAGGGTCAGGCGCACACCAAGGCTGCAGTCCCCCGGACCTCCGGGAACACAGGCCCAAGGAGAGTGGGGCAAGGGGCGCTAATCTCCTCCCCTGGAGTCCACAGGGGATCGCGTTAGGAGGCGGGGCCTGAGCAGGGCCTTGAGGAGGAGGCGGGGCTGTTGCGAGGGCAGAGTTTGGAGGAGGCGGGGCCTGTTGCGAGGGGCGGTGTCTTGGGAGAGGAAGTCACTGGGGCGTGGCCAGAAGCATCTGTCTTCCTCCGGCTCCTCCCTTCTCTGCTTCCCGGCTGCCGGGGACCTCCCACCAAACCCTTGGATCCAGCAGATCTTACGCTAAAAACCTAAACCAAATCAAACTTCTCCTGCACGCCGGTAATCCCAGCACTCGGGAGGCTGAAGCAGGAGGATAGCTGTGAGTTCGAAACCAGCCTGGGCTATATAGTGAGTTCCAGGTCAGTCACAACTACATAGTGAGACCCTGTCTCAAAAAATCCAGAAAATAATAATGATAATAAATAAATAAATAAACAAACTCTCCTTCTTAGGTTGCCATCGTAGGGTACCATGTGCCAGCAAGGAGGAAAGTGATTAAGCTCCTGGGTGACCACCGGGAGAGTAGGGTGTCCGGATTGGAAAGTCCAGGAAAGTCAGGGAGAGGGCTGACCTGTGTCCCGGGCCTGTCATCCCAGTGCTCTGGTGGCGGAGGCAGAAGGATCACAAGTTCAAGCCCGGCCTCGGTAACCTAGTGACTTGATGAGACCCCATCTTAAAAAATGCAAAAGGGCTGGGGATATATAGCTCAACGAGAAGGCCCCAGGTTCCAGCCCCAGTACTGCAAAAATAAAACAACATAAAAGGCTTTAGAGCCTCCCTGGGGTGTGTGCAGATGAACCTTGGAAGAAGAAAGCCCAAAGCTTCCCAAAACCATGGGGAGAAGGGACAGGTTGTACCTCACCTAACAGCTCAGAAACAGGCGTGACTCCTTCCAGTCACCTGCTGTCCAGGCGTGGCCAGAGGCCAATGGACCCTGGGAACCAGGCCTTGCTCCCACACCAGCCCCTGCCTGGCCAGCACCCCCATTTGGTTTCGCCCACAGTTCTGAGCTGCCCCCGCCCCATGGGACAAGCCCTGCGTCCTCTGGTGTGTTCTGACCTAGTGACCATCTCCCCCTTCCCGTACACACACAAACCCTCACCACACACACCCGTCTCTAATTTCACAAAGGACACAGGTGTTTCCACGCCAAGGGGAGGAGGGCAGGTGACTGAGCTGGATCACACAGTCACCACAGAAGCCCCGAGCCCAGCTGGGCCTCCCAACCAGAGACGCTGCTGTCCCCAGGCCTGTGTCACCAGCACAGCCTGGCAGCAAAGGCCAGCTCCACCCACTTCCTCTGCAAGGCCCAAGCACTGCTGCTGCAGAACTGACCACCCTTCCTGGACAGGGCTGGCAGAGGGTCCCAGGCACCAGGGGACACTGAGCTCTTCCTGAGGTGGATCCAGTCAGCGCTGGTACCGGGATCAGCCAGCCCTTTCCTTCGCCCCGCCGCAGGCCCGGCCCAGACGAGTGGCCCTTGTGAGGTCCTGGGTGCCTGTGCCCAGCCTCCTCCCAGCCTCTGCACTTGCAGACCCAGGTGTGTCGCTCTGAGACGGGGGGTCACACTGCCCGCCTGCACCATGGCACACGGGGGTCACAGCTGGCACCTCGTCCCTGGGGGCCCGGGGACAACCCTTCTGTCCGCTCTGTCCCACAGCCCTGCCAACTCCTTCATCAGCCTCTCCTTTGGGACCCTGGGGTTGCTCCTGCTACTCCCAGCACCTCTATGCTGCCTGCATCTGAGAGATGAAAAAGAACCCAGCCCCCATGCTCCACCCAGCTCCACTCCAGCAGCTCCCCTCCATCCTCTCCCGCCTGACCCAGTCCTGTCTCCTGCACAGGGTGCTGGGTGCTGGCTACATGGCACAGGGAAGATCAGGAACGCAGAGGCCGGCGCCTCGAGAAGCAATGCGTCTGTGTCACAGACTTGGGCATTTCCGTTAATTGCTTAACTACTGCGTGGAGCTATTCATTTATATTTTTTGAGCTATTTATTATTTCTGACTCCCCTCAGACTCTGAGCAATGCCTCGGTGCCTCACCCTCACCCCGGCCCAAGCCCAATGGTCCTGATCAACCAAGGCCTCTACAACCCTAAGGCCTCCCTAACCCATAGCCCAGGTTGCCACGTCCAGAAGTACAAGTCTTCCTTCAGACTCAGCCACGCCGGAGCTGGTGCAGAACCCAAGGGAACGAAACCACTGCCTCTCAAAGGCCCCGCATGCCCCGTGCACCACAGCATCGTTCACAAACCATGGGCACATCTGTCCACAGATGAAGCAGCGGAGAAGCGGTGCCCACACCGCGGAGCACTACGCAGCCTGTACAGACCTGGGGTGCAGGTCTGTACAGAGCACGAGCCCAGCACGCCCAAGGCCCTGCACTCCGACCACAGCCACGCAGAGGGGAAGAAAGAGCGATCCTGCCACTGGCCCCATGGGGTGAACCAGAGGAGTCTGTGCTAAGTGAAACGAGTCAGACACACGAAATAAGGCAGGACTTGATTTACATGTGAGATCTTACCAAAAAATGTCAAACATCTAGAGACAGAATAAACAGATAAACAGTAGTTACCAGGGCCCGGATGGGAGGAAATGAGGCGATGAAGCCAGAGGATACAGACAGCAAATATGCAGAAAGAACAAGCAGTAAGACCAGGGCTAACATACGTGCCGTATTCAGGACTTCTGTAAAACGGCAGAGCAGAGCCACCCTTGCCAGAGCCGTCCCTGTGCAGACAGGGACACACACCCCAGACATCTGCTGCACACTCTATTTCTTTCTTTTTCTTTTTGAGACAGGGTCTCGCTGTGTAGCTCAGGCTGGCCCTGAACACACTGTGTAACCTAGGCTGGCCTCAAACTCACGGCAATCCTCCTGCCTCAGCCTCCTGTTCTGGGATTACAGGCGTGCACCTCATTCTGCTGTACACTCTAAACACATGATATGGCAATTATTTTTAAATAAATAACTAAAAGAAGTCTTCCTTCACCTGCCTGGTCCTCTTCTTCTGTCTCTCCTGGACTCTCCTCCTGCTGGCCACACTCTTCTCACCCCCAGAACCCCTGCACCTCCGCACCATCTGTAACCCTGCACCCTGCACCAGCTCCTCGAAGATCCCAGCTCCTGGCCACTCACCAGATGCACACAGCCTTCCTGTCCTGGCCTCTGAGCTCAGTCTCCTCCCAGCTTCCTGTCTCAGCCTGAGTCTTCTGGAGCTGGAGCTCAGGCCTGGACCTGGTCCCTTCCTTAACTCACACTGCAGGCCCAGCTTCCACGCCTGCCCTCAGCTCTGTTAAGAGGTGCCCCAAATCGCAGCGAGTTCTCTACCTGGTGCCCATCTGCCTGGCGACAGCCGGCAGTGACACTGTCTGCAGCACCCCGTGTCCTCCCCTCGTCCTCCACGCAGGCCTCCAGGGAGCAGTGAACACCATCGCACTGTTCTCCTGCCCTCTGGGGCATGGTGGCCAGCAGGACAGGTGGTGCAACACTCTCTGTCCTCCACACATCTCGGGGCCAAGCGGCTGCAGGACGGGAGTACGCTGCTCAGCAGCCCGCAGGTCAGCAGGGCCAACCGCAGACCACACGTGCAGGTAGTGACGGGCAGGACCAGAGTCACCGGAAGTTTCTAGAAGGATGAAAGAGGAGGGATGCCCAGCACAATGGCCATAGCAGAGCAATCTGCACTCCTCCTGGACACAGCAGAACAGGGATCCCGGCCGGGGGCAGGGCCTCAGGAGCGGCTCTGCCTGCAGCTCCGGGAAGTTGACACACAAACCGGAGAGACTGCCCTCACCAGGCCCCCGGGGGCCAGGAGCCCTGACCCTGGAGCAACAACTCAGTGAGAATACAAGCAGGGAGAGCTCCAGAAATCAAGGAAGAGCCCACAGGAATCCGGAAGCCAGAGAAAGTGGAGAAATGGAGCTCAGACAGCACAGACCAAAGAATGAAGCCGTGTAGAAGCTCAGCCCACTCCGGGGACCCAGACCGCACCAGGGGTTCGCGCACTGCAAAGCGGGGAGGGCTTTACTCCAACTGGAGAGGAAAGTAAGTGCAGCGCCCACCACATTTGAAGGTGTTTGATCGGGAGCCACTTGGGGAAGAATTAATTGTTTAGGACTGAGCCACAGAAAAATGACAGAAGAGATACCCTTCTGGGTGTCTGCAGTCGCCCTAGCACAGCGACGGGGTGGGAGTCGCACAGGGTGAGGCCTGGACGTGGACCCCTGAGACGTTTGAGCTCAGGCCTGGAAGGACAATGGACGAAGCGGCCCGCTGGGAGGGACTGGGTCCCAGAGTGCCACACTAAGGCAGAGGCCCGCTTGACCCGGCCCCCAGGTGCCTATGCCCGTCACAGCGTCGTCTGTCCGGGGCTGTGCCTCGGATGCCGCAGCCTGGGGCACAGACAGAGGGGCCGCTGGAGCAGGGAGCACTCACAGACCCACAGTCGGGAAGCCAGGCGGGGAGGCTGTGCCTTGGCTCGCGAGGAGGGAAGTGGGAACCGGGTGGCTGCGGAGTGGACGCAGTCCTGGGGGACCTTTGACCAGCCAGGCCCAGCAGGAGCGGCAGGGCAGGGCGCAGCATTCACACACGGAAACAAAAGGTCTTTCTAGTGACTCACTGTCCCTCCCCCACATCCCACATCATTAAACGGAAAAAAGGTGAAAGCCTTTCCTCTAAAATCAGGAACAAACCCTGGGTTAGACAGAAAAAAGGCAGGGTAGGAATCACGCTGCGTGCATGTTAACTCCCAGTGATAATGGCTGTGGTTAGAAGAGAGTTAGATGTGGGAGCAGGTGTGTGGGAAGGCTCGTATCACTTCTGCAGTTTTCCTAGCCTAAAACTGTTTCAAAGTAAAAGTTTAAAAGTAAAAGCCAGCAAGGCCGGGGATTTAGCTCAGTGGTTCGGTGACCTGCCTTGCAAGCGCAAGGACCTGAGTTCAATCCCCGGTACCAAAATAATGGGCAACTGAAATGAACACACTTGTCCAAAAAAAAAGCACAAATGGCCAATAAATGCATGAAAACATAAATGTTC